GAGAGAGAGAGAGAGAGAGAGAGAGAGAGAGAAGGAAGAGAGAGAGAAGATAGAAATAAAGAAAGAAAGGAAAAGAGAAAGAAAAAGAAAGAAAGGAAAAGAGAAAGAGATCGAAAAAAAAGAGAAAGGAAAAGAGAAAGAGAAAGAAAGAGAACGAAAAAAAGGAGAAAGGAAGAAAATAAATAAATGAAAAAAAAACATCCTTTTGTTCGCACCTTCGACTGCCTTCCATCCTCGATAAACTTAGACGCCCATTTCCCTATGCCTAAGTAACTCCCCTTGTCACAACAAAGTCACCTCCCCCCCCCCCCTTCCAGGTGTCACGTGCCCCGTATACTAAGGATGGGAAAGTAGGGGGCGGGGAAGGTGGGAGGGGTTAGGGGAGGGAAGGGATAGGGGGGGTGGGGTGAAAGAGGGAGAAACGGAGGGTGGGGTGGGGGGGTGAGGGGTGCTGCGTCGTAATGTTGTCACCCCGTCAGCTGCTGCACGTGGTTGGGTCGGGGCCGCCTCCTTTCCCCTTCTCGCTCTCTCTTTCTCTCTCTCTCTCTCTCTCGCGGTTGGTCATTTGCCGTCTCTCTCTCGCTCTGTCTCTCTCTGTCTCTGTCTCTCTCTCTCTCTCTCTCTCTCTCTCTCTCTCTCTCTCTCTCTCTCTCTCTCTCTCTCTCTCTCTCTCTCTCTCTCTCTCTCTCTCTCTCTCTCTCTTCCTCCTTCCCTCCCTCCCTCCCTCCCTCCCACCCTTTACCTATCCCTCTCTCTCTCCCACCCCCTCTTCCTCCCCCTCTTACTCTCCCTCCCCCCTCCCTCCCCCCTCCCTCACTCTCTCCCTCTCCCACTCCTCTCCCTCTTCCACTCCCTCTTCCTCCCTTTTCTCCCTCTCTCACCCTTTCATTTCGCCCCTTCTCTTCCTACAGCACACCCAGCATACATTCCAAAGCGCAAACACCACACGAGAAATGACTTTTCATCTGTCTTTTATTGCGTGATCGTATGTATTCATCTCCACAAACCTCGGGTCTTTTTCCCCGAGACTTTCATTCAGTGTGGCTATTTTGGCCATAAATTCGATAACTTCTCAAGAACTTCACGCCACCTTGACTGACCTTTCTCGCTTTCTCTCTCTCTGTCTGTCTCTCTTTCCTCTGTCTGTCCGTCTCTCTCTCTCTCCTTTCTCTCTGCCTGTCTGTCTTAGTATCTGTCTGTCTGTCTGTCTCTCTATCTAGCTATTTTTCTCTATTTCTGTCTATGTATTTTCTCTTTCTCTCTCTCTCTCTCTCTCTCTCTCTCTCTCTCTCTCTCTCTCTCTCTCTCTCTCTCTCTCTCTCTCTCTCTCTCTCTCTCTCTCTCTCTCTCTCCCTCTCTCGCGGTTGGTCATTTGCCGTCAATCTCTCTCTCTCTCTCTCTCTCTCTCTCTCTCTCTCTCTCTCTCTCTCTCTCTCTCTCTCTCTCTCTCTCTCTCTCTCTCTCTCTCTCTCTCTCTCTCTCTCTCTCTCTCTCTCTTCCTTTCCCTCTTCCTCCCCCCCTCCCTCCCCCCTCCCTCCCTCCCTCCCCCCTCACCCCCTCTCTTTTCTCATTCTAAAGGCCAACGACCTTTTTCTTTCCTCTCCCGACACACCTTCCCCGAGCAAGAGGATTGGGCAGTTAGTTATCCTTCCATTGATTCTATTGGACTTTCCTTCTCTTTCTCCTTCTTCTTTCTCTCTCCTTCCTTCCTTCCTTTCCTTTCCTTTCCTTTCGACGCGTTCCAGCTGTATTTTGATCCCCTATGTTATTCCTGTTTGATCGGTTCTTTTCAGCTTCAGGGCCGATTTTGTATCAATTCACCCCCCTCCCCCCTCCCCCCTCCCCCTCCCCCCTGGCGCAGACTGTAGAACACCCGCGCGATTTTGTAATTTAATCATATTAATCTCGATGATCAACGAATTCCCCAATTAATGTCGTAAAGCCTTTCCCTTACTGTGTGCGACGTCTCATTGCCCGCCCGGTCGCTCGGTCTTGTTCCCTCTCTCTCTCTCGGTCTCGGTCTCGCTATTCTCTCTGTCTCTTTCTCTCTTATTTGGTCTCCTCTCTCTCTCTCTCTCTCTCTGTCTCTCTCGCTCTCGCTCTTCTCTCTGTCTCTCTCTCTTATTTGGTCTACTCTCTCTCTCTCTCTCTCTCTCTCTCTCTCTCTCTCTCTCTCTCTCTCTCTCTCTCTCTCTCTCTCTCTCTCTCTCTCTCTCTCTATCTTTCTCTCTCTCTCTCTCTCTCTCTCTCTCTCTCTCTCTCTCTTTTTCTCCACCCATCTCTCTCTCCCTCATTCCACCTTTCTCGCTCTTCTCTCTCTTTCTCTCTTATTCCCTCTTTCTCGCTCTTATTTCGCTCTCTCTCTCCTCTCTCAATTATTCTCTCTCTCTCTCGCTCTCTCTCTCTCTCGCGTTCCTCCCCTACTTGATATGACAATAGCGGGAGCCATATTTGACAAATGGTTTTATGGCAGAGGTATAGAGACCCCGCCGCCAGCTGCCCCGAGAGAACCCTGACCCCTCCTACTCCCCCCCCCCCACCCCCCACACTACTACCTCTCCCCCTTACTCCCTTTTCTCCTCCTCCTCCTCCTCCTCCTCCTCCTCCTCCTCCTCCTCCTCCTCCTCCCTCTCCTACCGCTACTCCTCCTCCTCCCTCCTCCCTCCTCCTCCTCCTCTACTCCTACCTCTACTCCTCCTCCTCCCTATTTCATATTTTTCCTCCTCTTTCTCCCTTTCACCCTTCCTCTTCCTCCCTTTCTCTTCTCCTTTCTCCCTTTCTCTTCTCCTTTCTCCTTTTCTCTTCCTCCCTTTCTCTTCTCCTTTCTCTCTTCCACTCATCCTCCCTTCTTCCTCTTTCTCCTCTTCCTCCCTTTCTTTTTTCCTTTCTCTCCTTCCTCCCTTCCACATTTCCTCCCCTTTCTCCTCCTCCTCCCTTCTTCCTCCTCCTCATCTTCCCTCTCCCTCCCCTTTCTCCTTTCTCTCCTCTTTTCTCCCCCTTCCTCTCCTTCTTCCTCTTCTCCCTTTCTCCTTCTCTCCTCTTTCTCCCCCCTTTCTCTTCTTCCCTTTCCCTCCCCCTTTCTCCTTTCTCTCCCCTTTTCCTCCCCTCCTCTCTCCTTCTCTTCTCCCCTTTCTCCTTTCTCTCCCCTTTTCTCCCCTTCCTCTCCTCTTCTCTCTACCCTTTCTTTCTCTCCTTTCTCTTTCTCCCCTTTTCTTCTCTCCCTTTTCCCCCCTTCCTTCCTCTTCCCTTCTCCCCTTTCTCCTTTCTCCCCTTTCCCCCTTCCTCTCCTCCTCCTCTTTCTCCCTTTTTCCCTTCTCTCCCTTTTCTCCCTTCTCCCTTTCCTCCCTCTCTCCCCTTTTCTCCTTTCCCTCCCCTTTCTCCCCCTCCTTCCTTCTCCTCTTCTCCCTTCTCCTTCCCTCCTTCCTCCTTTCTCCCTTTCTCCTTTCTCTCCTCTTTCTCCCCTTTCCTTCCTTCCTCCTCTTCTCCCCCTTTCTTCCTTTCTCTCCCCTTTTCTCCCCCTCCTCTCTTCTTCTCTTCTCCCCTTTCTCCTTTATCTCCTCTTTTCTCCCCCTTCCTCTCCTTCCTCTCTTCTCCCCTTTCTCCTTTCTCTCCCCTTTTCTCCCCCTTCCTCTCCTTGTTCCTCTTTCCTCTCTCTCCTTTCTCTCCTTTTTCTCCCCCTTCTCTCTCTCTCTTCCTCTCTCTCTCTCCTTTCTCTCTCTCTCTCCTTTCTCTCCTCTCTCTCTCTCTTCCTCCTCTTCTCCCCTTTCTCCTTTCTCTCCCCTTTTCTCCCCCTTCCTCTCTTCCTCCTCTTTCCCTTTCCTCCTTTCTCTTCCTCTTTTCTCCCCCTTTCTCTCCTTCCTCCTCTTCTCCCCTTTCTCCTTTCTCTCCTCTTTTCTCCCCCTTCTCTCCTTCCTCTCTTCTCCCCTTTCTCCTTTCTCTCCCCTTTTCTCCCCCTTCCTCTCCTTCCTCCTCTTCTCCCCTTTCTCCTTTCTCTCCCCTTTCTCCTTCTCTCTCTCTCCTCCTCTTCTCCCCTTTCTCCTTTCTCTCCTCTTTTCTCCCCCTTTCCTCTCCTTCCTCCTCTTCTCCCCTTTCTCCTTTCTCTCCTCTTTTCTCCCCCTTCCTCTCCTTCCTCCTCTTCTCCCCTTTCTCCTTTCTCTCCTCTTTTCTCCCCCTTCCTCTCCTTCTTCCTCTTCTCCCCTTTCTCCTTTCTCTCCTCTTTTCTCCCCCTTCCTCTCCTTCTTCCTCTTCTCCCCTTTTCCTTTCTCTCCTCTTTTCTCCCCCTTCCTCTCCTTCCTCTCCTCTTCTCCCCTTTCTCCTTTCTCTCCTCTTTTCTCCCCCTTCCTCTCCTTCCTCCTCTTCTCCCCTTTCTCCTTTCTCTCCTCTTTTCTCCTTTCTCCCCGCAGCTCAAACACCAGGTTGTTACTGCCGTCGTTAAAGATATGTGAGGTTGGCTGCCCTGGAAACAAGCTGGCTGGCGGATATAATTCTGATATAATTCTGGTGTAATTCTGACTCTTGCGTCCGGAACTGGTATTTCTCTTCTCCCTCTCCTTCCCCTCTTCTTCTTCTTCTTCTTCTCTTCTTCTTCTTCTCTTCTCCCTCTCCTTTCTACTTCTTCTCTTCTCTTCTCCCTCTTTTCTTCTCTTTTTCCCCTCTCTTTCCCTTCTCTTCTTCCCTTCCCCTTTCCATAGTCCTGGCTTCCTCTTCCCTTTCCCTCTTCCCCTTCTCCTCTCGTCTCATTTCCCCTCACCTTCATCCCCCCTTGTCCCTCTTCCTCTTTCCCTCCAACCCCCTCACACCCCTCCCCCCTTCTCTCCCCTTCCCTCCCCCCCCCTCTCTCGCAGGCCTTTCCCCCTTCCCCCTCTCCTCTCCCCTCCCTTCCCCCTCATCTTCTCCCCTCCCTCTCCCCCCTCCCCCCTCTCCTCTCCTCTCCCCTCCCCTCCCTTCCCCTCATCCTCACCTCCTCCCACAACCCCATTCCCCCCCTCTCCCCTCTCCCC